GGGACAAGTGGTGGCGGCACGGGCCATCTCAGGGACATTCCACCGGGAAGCGCAGGCACTGCCCAGAGAGGCAGCCCCAGGAGCGGCATGCCAGCCTCTGGGGAGCACGGAACACCATCTCCTCTGTGCGGCTCCTGCCCACAGCAGCCAGGCGAGCGCCACCTGCTCCTGTCCCTCTAGCCTCCCCGGGCTCGGCTTGCCGCAGGAGGCAAGAATCCAGAGGAACGGGGCCATTTGGCTGAATTTTAGAAACCGGTGCTTGTTCTGAACAGGCAGTACCCAGCTAGGATCAGACATGCTTCTCAGCAGCCAGCATGCACAGAGAGTCCATTATGAGTGGCGGTCAAGTTCCCGGGCTGACCTACAAAACCCAGCTACCCCAGGTCCCGCAGGCCTCCCAGCCACCAAATTCACAGTGCATGCACAGCCCCGCTCCGGGGGAGGACCTGAGCCACGAAGATCCCATTCTAGCTCCGGAAGCCACTCAGGACCACTAAATGCTGCTGTGTTACCCCGCTCAACACTCAACAGGCCCTGGGTGGCAGGAAGCTCTCCAGCTGCCCATAGACCAGCTGTGTCACTCAGGGAGGCTCCTTAATCCTCTGGGCCTCACTTTCCTCATCTGCAAAAGGGGACACTAATAGCTCTACTGCTGGGGTCGTTCAAAATGCCAATGAGTCCATACCTGTGAGTGCAGGAAAAGCACCTGGCAGCTGGCACAAGTACTCCAACAGAATGTAATGGCGGTCACCCACTGTCGCTCCTTCCTTTACTTCTAGAACACCTTCCCCCTCCACTGTGGCTCCCTGGCCCCTGCAGGCTCCTGTTCAGTCCGCATTGCTGCTTCTTCCCCCACCGCCTGACTGGGTGAGCCCAGGCCCACTCTGTGGTCTGCTCAGTTCCACGACGCGGCTGGGGTCCGCCGCCTCTCACACGGCAGCACGCATGTCACAGCTGTGCCCCGCGGCCTCCCCATCTCAGCTGAACTGGCAATCGCACCAGCTCAGATGCTCAGGCCAAAAGCACGAGCATCTGGACCCATCCTTGACCCCCCCACACCCGATCAAGCAGCAAATTCTTGGGCCTCTCCCTGAACATCTGACACAGCCTCCTCGACAGCGGCCCTGCCCCCGCCCCGGCCCCAGTCCACTTCAGCACCGCAGCGTGACCTGCCCTTGCAGCCACACGGGCCCCTGACTGCTCCCAACACTGTCGAAACCCCCATCCTGGGACCCTGGCACTAACTCGGCTCTAACAAAACTTCCTGTGCAGACAGGAACGTTCCCCGTGTGTCCTCTGTCCAGTATGGCGGCCACCAGCACGCGTGGCTCCTGAGCGCCTGAAACGTGGCTGATCCCGCTGAGGAACCGTGCACTTGATTTTATTTCATTTTTACTCACTTAAACCTAAGTCGTCTGGGGCGCCTGACTGGCTCGCTCGGTTAAGCATCTGACTTCGGCTTCATGATCCGACTTCATGATCTCACAGGTGCTCACGGGTTCAAGCTGACAGCTCAGAGCCTGGAGCCTGCTTCAGATTCTGTCCCTCTCTCTCTGCCCCTCCCCCACTAGCACTTGGTCTCTCTCTCCCTTTATCTCAAAAATAAACAAACATTTAAAGAAAATTTTTAGGGGCACATGGGTGGCTCAGTTGGTTAGGCGTCCAACTTCGGCTCAGGTCATGATCTCACGGTTCGTGGATTCCAGCCCCGCGTTGGGCTCTGTGCTGACAGCTAGCTCAAAGCCTGGAGCCTGCTTCAGATTCTGTATCTCCCTCTCTCTCTGACCCTACCCTGCCCATGCGGTCTCTTTCTCTCAAAAATAAATAAAACATTAAAAAAAATTTTTTTTTATTTTTAAAGAAAGAATTATCATGGATATTACAGGTGCCAAGCCCTGTTCTCTGGGCCTTACGGGTACAAATTCCTTTGCTCTTACCAACCCCCCCTTTCCAGGTGGAGGGCCTGGGAGCAGGGTGAGGCTCTCCACCAGACACAGCCAAGCTGAAGGGGACCTGTGTCACCAGTCCAGCAGCCCAGGGAGCCGGCAGTACCTTCCATCCCCAGGTGGCCCTGCAGGGAGCAGATACATAATGCTGTGGACGTGAGGGAGGCATTTGGAGGGGAGCTTCTGACTACTTTGCCTCATTAAATTATGTGCAATAATTTATTTAATTTCATTTTTACTGATTTCCGTTTGCATCCAACGCTCCCCACCAGCGACCAAATGGTACGACCACAGTACAGCCACAAAGGGCACAAGGTTTAATGGGTTGGCAAGAAAGAAAAAAAGAAAAAACGATGGCAAAGAGGAGAGACCCAGAAATACCTTGACTAGGAATTCAGTGAAACGAGCAGTCCACTGCTCACTCACGCCCAAGTTTAAGGAATACTTGATTCCTCCTTGTCTCTAGATCCCCAACAGGGAACAGGTTTGCAGACCCTGGGAGTTTCCTGTTTGTTAAATGTATCTTAGGACCCATTCACAGCTTCGAGTGACATGTGGCCTGCTGACTGCACACTGATCACTGCTCCTTCCCGAAAGGCCAGCAAAGGCCCAAGCAGCAGCAAGGTGGGACAAGGAACTGGGCAGAGGAGGACCAATGGAGAGAGGGGGCAGTTTCCTGCTGGTGCAGACACACGGGCAAGAAGACGTCAGAGAGGCCCACCCCGTGGGGGTGGCGGTAGAGGGGGCCAACCATTGTACTCAGGGCCCCTCCTCCATCCCTGGCAGTTGATGCCATACCCCAACCAGGCAGGAGATGTGCCCAAGCCAGAGAAACTAACACAGAGGATGGGCTTGGGGCCACGAGGCAGAGGTGGGCAGTAAGGCACATCGGGGAGGGCAGGAAGTAAAGAGCAGGCCCGCGGTCCTCTCTCCTGCTGGGTTCCAGGCCACTTGGGCACCCTGCACCTGCGGCAGGGCAGAGGGTCCCCAGGGGCCCCGCACTGGGAACAGCAACTCTGCTCCTCGAGGTCCTTAACTATTTCATGACATCCGAACGTGGCTGGGGAGGCCACAGCCAGAGCCTGGCATGTGCGGGTGTGCGTGCTTCCCCCAAGCTCCCATGAAGTCAACTCTCACTCAGATTTGGGTCTCAAACAAGGGTAACTGGAACACATGAGACACAGCATGAACAACTACCCCTCCCAAATACAGCGTTCTGTGGATGCTCGCGCTGAGGATCGAAGCTGCGAATCCAGGAGTGCATGGACCCGACACGGCAAGAAAACACCGAGGCTTACTCGCCCTGCTCTGCCACACTGGATCCTGGGCCTCTCAGCCCCGACGGCAAGGCCTCAGGAGACGCAGTGTGGATCGTGCTTGGAGGGGAGCAGAGGGACGGCAGGCGCGGCCTTCAGAGGACCCCTGGAAGGCTCCAGGCTGGGAGCAGCAAAGCACTCAGCCAGCTCCATTTCCTGCCACAGAATGCCCTCTGAGGAGAAAGTGCAAGTCTGCAAAGGACACAGCGGTCTCCATTTTGCATGGCTTGCGGCCAAGGTCAAGCTCTAGAGTTTGACTGAGCCAGGTAAACCTCAGCTCCCCCCTCAAGCTTCCACTACTTCGTCTGTGAAATGGGGATGATGAAGGGCCCTCATGGAGACTAAACTGGATGGTGCCTGAGAGCCCCTGGCTTGGCACCTAATGCTCAGCAAAGACATGAAGTGCACACTGGCCACCATGGGGACAGTGACGCACACAACCCCGCCACCCCACGGCTCCAGCCTGACGGACAGACCAGCTGACTGCTCTGAGCCCTGCCACCACTTCCTCCCCAACCTGAAGCTCCAGCAGAGCTGACATCCATCCTGCCATACCTTCCAGTAGTTTCTGTGAAACACTGCAATTTTTCAAGATCGGATCTGTCAAGATATTCAAACACGTCTCAAGTCAACAAAGTTGACAAGTTTATTTTACTTTATTTTTAAAGCTTATTTATTTAACCTGAGGCGGGGGGGTGGGGGGAGAAGGGCAGAGAAAGAGAGAGAGAGAGAGAGAGAGAGAGAGAAAATCAATCCCAAGCAAGCTCCAAACTGTCAGCCCAATGCAGGGCTCGAACTCGTGAAACTGTGAGATCATGACCTGAACTGAAATCAAGAGTCAATGCTTAACAGACTGAGCCGCCCCGGGAGCCCCCAAAGGCTCACCCTTTAAATGCCCACGAGAAGCCCTCTCACTCCATGGCTCGATTCAGTGAGAGTCCACTCTGTGTCTGGACTATTAGGACAGCGGCGGGGTGGGTCCTGCCCCTCCTTCTCCCACATCAGCCTGCCACCTCACTCAAGGCCACCATCACCTGCCTACGGCAGGCACCGCCCCTCTTCAGCACCCCTCTCTCCGACTCCTCCATCCCAGCCCCTCCAGTCCAGATGGGGCACTGCAGGGCCTTTCCCAAATGGAGATGGGGCGGCTCCTCCGCCGGCTATGGCGTGTTCACCTCACCTGGCTCCCCGCCCCACCTCACCTATGCTTCTGAGCACACAACATGTGCGCACGACCCTGGGGCCGTAGCATATGCTGCCCGCTCTTCCAGAAAGCCTTGGCCTCGAGTCTCCTAGCTCCCTCTAACTCATAGCTTCGGACGGAAAGGCCTGACTTGGGCTCCGGGCACCACCCCCCTACCAGCTCCGCTCCATGGGGACAACAGCCACCTCGCGGGATCATCATGAGGACTGACCAAGATGGCGCACTCGGCAGCCTCTCCTAGAGCAACCACTCAAATGACCGCAGCGATGCGGACCTCCCGGCCCCCCCAGCCCAGCTGCCACCCACTGCCGCCCCCCTCCCAGCCCCGTCACCACCCACACGCCCCGGCCAGGCCCCACTGCCCCTAAGACCCTCTGCTGCTCGAGGACAGCCTGCCTCTTGCTCACCCCGGCAGACAGGCAGCAGGCATGCAAGCATCTGCCCAACGGAGGGCTGAGCCACTCACGCCCCCTGCCACCTCCAATGCCCCCAGAGGGGCAGTGGCAGCCACGGCGGAGCCGCCAGGCCCCTCACCTGAGGTCCTTCAGCCGCTTGCAGTGCTTCAGCATGTCCGAAAGAGCAGACGTGTAGACCACCTTCCCCATGAGGCCCAGGTTGGCCAGTGACAGGGACTGCAGCTGCTGACACTGCAGGCCGATGCTGACCAGCCCGGAGCCCGTGAGGATGCCGGGCAGCTGGGCCAGCGTCAGGTGCCTCAGGAAGGCCAGCTGGCCAACGGCGGCCACCTCCGCGTCGCCGACGCTCTGCGCTCGGCTGCAGGGCGGGAGGGAGTTGCGGATGGCGGGCTCGTTGCGTGGCATGGCAGAGGAGAAGCTGGACCCAATGAGCTCGAGGCGCTCCAGGAAGGGCACGTCCTTCAGCAGGGACCAGAACACGGAGGAGGGCTGGGGCGCCGCCTGCCCCGCGACGGCCACAGGGCACGGCTGCACGCCGATGCGCACCTTCTTGCCACAGCCGCGGGGCACGGCATGTGGGGCGGGCGGGGTGGCGGCAGCAGTGCGGTCGGGCCGCGGCACCGGCTCAGCAACGGCGCACACAGGCAGGGACAGAGAGCGCAGGCGGCGCAGGCGGGCCAGCAGCTGGCAGAGGTGGCGGCCAGGGCTGGCGGCGCTGTGGTGGTGCGCAGCCGACAGGTTGAGGTGCTGCAGGTTGCGGCAGGACACCACCAGTGTCTCCAGGATGCTGCTGTCGATATCGTCCTCCGCCTTGCGGAGCAGTGAGTCCGGAGACAGGCAGTGCACGCAGCCGCTGAGGTTCAGGCTCGCCAGGCTCCGGAGGTCCCTCCCGCCGTTGATGACCCGCTGGAGCAGGTGGCCGCCAGACAAGGCGCAGCGGCTGAAGCTGAAGTAGAAGGGGTTGTTGAACTTCATGTGCTGGAGGAGCGACGAGCCGTTGAGCCAGGACTTGGGCAGCTGCAGGGCATCCAGCGCGACGTTGCGGGCCATGGAGTCCAAGAGGTTCTTGGTGGCCCCGCTCTCCGCGAAGCTGCCAGGCACAGAGATGAGGAAGGCGTGGAGGTTCTCGGGCGTGCGGTCGCTGAGCACGGCCAGGTAGAGGCGTACCACCTCCTGGTTGATGTAGCCGGGAGCCAGGCGTGCATAGAACACGCGCAGGTTCTGGTAGTGCGGCACATTGCTCTGGCCCACCATGAGCTGGCCCGAGAGCACGGCACCCTCCCGCGTGCGGTCCAGGATCTCGAAGTAGAGCAGCAGCTTCTCGAGGCTGGTGCAACAGGGTACCACACCGTACGAGGGCGTGTACAGTGTCTGCTTGAGCTCCCGCACGCGGCTCAGCGTGGCCTTGCACTCGCCGCTCAGCTGGCCGGCGTCGAAGCCAGGGCTCACATCGATGGCCAGGGAGCGCAGGTGCTGGAGAGCAGACAGCATCTTGGAGAGGCGCAGGGAGGTCAGGTGGCAGCCCGACAGGTTCACCTTCACCAGGCTGCGGCAGCGGGCCACGTGCTCGATGGTGGCACCCGACAGCCAGTAGCAGCCGGCCATGTTGAGCTGCTGGATCTCACGGCCGATCTCCCTCACCACCTGCCTCACCTTGTCCTCGCTCGCCTGCAGGACGGGGCAGAGGAAGGAAGGAAAGGGGCTGGAGGCACCGGGGCAACTCCTTCCCCCTCACCCATCAGGTCACACCCTCCCCCGTGACAGTGGACAACCCAGAGCCCCGAGGGGCCTGCAGGGACCCTCTACTCCAGCAGACGAGGGACCCTGCAGGGGAGAGCCAGCCCCTACCTCCCCTCCCCACAGGCTGACTGGAAGCCAGCGGTCAAGAACCCCCAGCCGAGCAGGAATGTAAAACGGTGCAGCGGGTATTGGAAAGTGTGGAGGCTCCTCCCTAAGCTACACAGTTACCACGGGACCCAGCAACCCCACCCAAGGGAACAAAGACACAGGGATGCAAGCGGCTCCCGTCATGCATGCAGCAGCACCACTCCCGGTAACCAATGGACGGAAACAACCCAATAGTCCACAGACAGACGAGGGACAGACAAGATACAGTCTACACACCAAAGGAAGACTGGCCACAGAGAGAGTGATGTTCTGACACGTGCTACAACACGGTGAGCCTGAAGGATGGGACACTAGGTGACACAAGCCAGTCCTACAAGATCCCATGTGGAGTGACTGTACTCACCGGAAATATCCAGAACAGGCACGTTCACAGGCAGAAGGCAGGGCAGAACTTACTAGGGGCTGGGGAAAGGGGGATGGGGAATCACTGCTCAATGGATTCAGAGTTTCCATTCAGGGTGATGGGAAAGTTCCAGAAACACTGATGATGGGTGCACACCATCACAAAGGTATACACTGTGTGACGGACGGCACCGTGCACTTAAGACCGGTGAGGACGGCAAGGGCTACGTCACGTAGCGGGAGTTCAAATCCCGTGATGGAGTCGTGGCCTGGAAACCCGACCTGGCTGTCGCTGTCCTTCACACCATAAGCATTTGCACATCATCAAATACTCCTCCAAACCCTGCCCTGGATCGCTCGGGGGAGCTGCGTCACGTCTGGTCCGGGACCCCGGCAGCCAGCAGCTGGCCGTCCCAGCTGCCGCCAGTGAGGCCTCCAGGGACCATGCTGCCTCGAGCACCCATGCACGTGACATTCACGCACCCTGTTCACCGCTCGGCAGTAAACTCGCGCACATGGCCATGCAGGACACACACATCTGAACCGCTCCAGACACACTGGGCTGGGGTGTGTGCCCCTCTCCCTACAGGAAAGAACCCTCACAGGCAAGAAGCCTGACCTTGGCTCTGGGGAGTTGTCTCAGCCTCCCCCACCCCAACCCCCAGCTCGAGCAGAGAGGGGCACAGTGCATTTTCTCAGAAAGAACAAGCTGTGGAGGGGCCTCACTCAGGGTTCAAATGCATAGCTTCACAACAACAGTAAAGAAACCCTTACTTGAACCCTCTGGGTTCCGGTCAAGACCTCTACTTGTATCTTTTAGACACCTCATCAGTTGGCTTTCAACAAAAGTTGCAAGGCAATCATGAAAAAGATGAACTCGCCATCTGCAACAACATGGATGGATCTAGAGGGTTTAATGCCAAGTGAAACAAGTCAGTCAAAGAGAGACAAACAGCATATGATTTCACTCATATGTGAATTTAAGACACAAAAAAGCAGGGGTGCCTGGGTGGCTCAGTCAGTTAAGCATCCAACTCTTGGTTTTGGCTCAGGTCATGATCTCGTAGTTGGTGGGTTTGAGGTCCACATCTGCTCTAATAGCGCAGAGCCTGCTTGCAATTGTCTCTCTTCCTCTCTCTCTGCCCCCTCGTCACAAAGATAAATAAACATTTAAAAAAAATTTTTAAAACAAGGGTGCCTGGGTTGCTCAGTTGGTTAAGCATCTCACTTCAGCTCAGGTCATGATCTCATGGCTTGTGGGTTCAAGCCTCGCGTCAGGCTCTGTGCTGAAAATTCTGGGTCTCCCTCTCTCTCTGCCCCTCTCCCTGCTCACATTGTCTCTCTCACTCTCTCTCTTAAAATAAACAATAAAAAAGATTTTTTAATTTAAAAAAATAAAAGAAACAAACGAGCAAAGGAGAAAGAGACAGGCAGACAGACAGACAAACCAAGAAACAGACTCTTAAGTACAGAGGACAAACTGATAACTGATAGTGATCTGAGGGGAGGGGATGGTGAAATGACAGAAATAGGTGACAAGGATTAAAGAGCGCTTTTGTCATGATGAGCACAGGGTACTGTATGGAAATGTGATGTTGAATCACTAGATTGTATACCCTGAAACTAATATAACACTGTATGTTAACTATATTGGAATTAAATATATATAAATATAAAAATAAATATGAAAATAAGTATAAAAAATTTTGCAGGTTCATTTAATGAGGAAAGGACAACCCTGTCGATAAGTGCTGTTGGAACAGGAGGAGCCATCTGCAAAGAAGAAGCCTTCAAGCCCTACCTCACACCACACACAGAGACGAACACAACAGGGATCTTACAAGCACCATAAGTAAAGCCATAAGACTCCTATAAGACAACACAGTAGAAAATCTTCACGACCTCCGGTCCGACAAAGTTTTCTTCAACAGAATACGAAACACACAAACTTAAAAAAAAAAACAATAAATCCTCCTTCAACTTAAAATCAAACTCTTATGCTCCTCAAAAGATGCTGTTAAAAAAAAAAAAATGCAAAGGCAAGCCACAGACGGTGAGAGAAAATACAACATGGGCATTGGACAATTGATCCAGAGCATATGAGAACTCCTCTAACCACACAAGAAGCCCTACAGCTGCTTCCGGAAAGAAGATACACAGACAGGCCAACCCCGGAGGGAAACAGCACTAATGGTGTCCCAGCGCCCTCCCCAACACGCCAGGTGAAAAAGCACATGGCGATACCTGCCCTGGCCGGCAGAGAGCTGCCTGGCGGAACCGGCATGCAGCTGCTGGGGGGCGAGATGGTACCTCCCCCACACCACGGAAGTTCCAACACCCGCCGCAGACCCAGCGGCCCACTCCTGGGTATCTGCCAGAAAGGCCGCCTCCCTCCCAGCACAGCATGTGCTGAGCCCGTGCCCTCCCCCCGGGGGGGTCCCACTGGCCACACCTTCCGGTCTCGCCTTTATCACCTAATGTGTCTCGAAGGCTGAGACGGTCAGGACTCTGAGTGCCTGCCTTCCTCGTCACCAGTGGCACGGCGCCCCCCTGCCAGGCCGTGCTGGCCCTCAGCGGGGCCCGTGGGCTGCCCCATCCCTGCCCGCAGGCCAGCACCTCCTGGGGACCCACGCCTCACCTCATAGTCTTTCTGTAGCACCACAGTATGGGTAAGGCTCTTGTCCAGGCACAGAACTGCGAGCTTCCGGCAGGTGCGCCGGACATTCAGAACCAGGTCCGTGCTGGGCACGTGGCTCAGGATGTGCAGGAGGATCTCATCCGAGAAGCCAAGAAGGTGGGCGCCCACCGAGATGGTGGCTGCCGCGGGGGGCACGTCGCCCTCATTGGACGTGTCCTGTAAATAAGACGGGGGGGGGGGAGATAAAGACACCGAATTCCCATGGGATCCCTGAGGGTGGCCTGCAGCCAAGAAGAGATGCCAAGAGAAGCCGTCAGCATAGTCTGTGGGAAAGAAGGTGCTCTTACCAAAAACCTTACCTGCAGAGCAAGAACCATGATACTCTCCAAACTCCCCTTTTAGATCTGCACACCAGGATCTCTCTTCAAATGAGAGTCAAAATGAAATCGCGATTTGTTTTTCCAAATGTAAGAGATTTTTCCCACTAAAGGTCTCCTATCAAGTCTGGATGTTTCAGACTCTACTTCTGACCACTGGGCAAGATTCCCTATTTGTGAAAGCTGCTTTTCTCCTGCTCCCCCAGCGTCAAACTATCTATATTCTTAAAATCCTTGGGTAGGAGAATTCTATCAAGAAACAATAAGAGGCGGGAGAAAAATAAACAAATAAGGGGCGCCTAGGCAGCTCATCCAGTTAAGCATCTGACTCTCGATTTCAGCTCAGGTCACAATCTCATGGTTCCTGGGTTCGAGCCTCACATCAGACTCCATGCTGACAGTGCAGAGCCTGCTTGGGATTCTCTCTCTGCCCCTTCTCTGCTCTCTCTCACTCTCTCAAAGTAAGTAAACTTAAAAAAAGAAAAAACAGTAAGATGGGGGGGAAAAGAAACAATGAGGGGCGCCTGGATGGCTCAGCTGGTTAAGCGTCCAACTCTTGATTTCGGTTCAGATCATGAGCTCATGGCTCAAAAGTTGGAGCCCTGTGTTGGGCTCTGCACTGACAGCGCAGAGCCTGCTGGGGATTCTCTCTCTCCCTCTCTCTCTCTCTCTGCCCTTCCCCTGTTCAAGCACTGGCTCTCAAAATAAATAAATAAATAAATTTTTTAATGTTTTTTATTTATTTCTGAGAGAATAGACAGAGTGAGCAGGGGAGAGTCAGAGAGAGAGAGAGAGACAGAATGTGAAGCAGGCTCCAGGCTCTGAGCTAGCTATCAGCACAGAGCCCAATGCAGGGCTCGAACCCACGAACCGTAAGATCATCACCTGAGCTGAAGTCGGACGCTTAACCTACGGAGCCACCCAGGAGCCCCTTAAAATAAATAAATAAACATAAAAAAAAGACTATGAAAACTGGGGACAACAACAGTGTCTTCACCTGTGGGGGCTGCTGTGACGGGTACCAAACCCCAGATGGTGGCGGACGCAGCTCCTCCCAGCACTGTCATTAAGAAAGGGCAAGTGCAGGAGTGCCTGGGTGGCTCAGTCAGTTAAGCGTCTGACTTCAGCTCAGGTCATGATCTTGTGGTTGTGGGTTCGAGCCCCGTGTCAGGCTCTGTGCTGACAGCCAGCTCAGAGCCTGGAGCCTGCTTCGGATTCTGTGTCTCCCTCTCTCTCTGACCCTCCCCTAAGGAAGGGAGGGAGGGAGGGAGGGAGGGAGGGAGGGAGGGAGGAAGGAAGGAAGGAAGGAAGGAAGGAAGGAAGGAAGGAAGGAAGGGCAAGCGTGAAACAGGGACGGCCAGAGGATGAAAGTGTAAAGTCCATACAAATAAGAAACAGCGCTCCTAGACCGAATCTCTACATTGCTAAGGCTGGCACTAGCTAACAGGAACTGCACAATTTACCCCCTTTTATCACACTTTCTGGCTAGGAACTCGTGTCGGTGTTTCCCAGATGTCCACACTGCATTTCGGTTTTGTAGGTATCCGCAACAGGTTTGCTTCCATAACGCGGGCCTCCGGCCTTTCCCGGGTTGGTATGTGCAACCCAGAGGGAGAGGGGGCTCAACCCACATGACAGGGAATCTTCAAGTCAAGGACAAAAGGACTGGAGGCTCTCAGGGGAGCCCATGGCAGAGGCGGGTGGATCCCCATATCTTCCCAGCACTTCCCAGAAGGGATTCTCTTGCCTCTAGAGCATCCTCAAGTACAGGGTGCCTGGCTGACCACTCACAGGAAACAGTACCCAGGATTACTTCCACCGCCCCCTCCTCCTGCCAGACTTGCCTTCTTGCCTTCTGTGCACGGAGGGAAGCGCTGAGACCAGGAGAGCCCTGCTGTTGCCATGGCAACCAGGAAGTCCGGGAAGGGAGAGCCGCTTGCACACCCCACACAGCCCCCAGGGCTCTTCCAGGCTCCCTGACTGGGCACCCCCTGCTCTGTGCCCCCAAGGCCTCCCAAGCCTGGGAAAGGGTGTCTGCAAGTATCTCCCACCTGTTTAGCAGCACAGGCCCTTCCCATGTGCCCTTCCTCCTAAGGGGCAGCAGCCACCCGTGCCTTCACGGCCCCCCTTTCCATGTGAGGTGTTTTCGATCCTGTCCCCCTCCTTCCAGGGTTTGTGAGAATAGGCGATAGCCGTCAGACCCAAGTCCACAGTGCTCTGGGTCACTGTATTCTGGGGCTAGTGTTCTGTACCATTAGTGACTTTTCTTAGTTCAGCACATCCCAGAGCCAATCATAGGGATCACGCAGGCACTTGTTAAAAATGACAATTCCCGGAGCACCTGGGTGGCTCAGTCGGTTGAGCATTCGACTATGGTTCAGGTCATGATCTCACGGTTCGTGGGTTCGAGCCCCGCGTCGGGCTCTGTGCTGACAGCTAGTTCAGAGCCTAGAGCCTGCTTCTGTGTCTCCCTCTCTGACCCTCCCTTGCTCAGGCTTCCTCTCTCTCTCTCAGAAATAAATAAAAACATTAAAAAAGTTTTTAAGAAATGACAATTCCCAGGGCACCTAGGTGGCTCAGTTGTTTAAGCATCTGACTTCAGCTCAGGTCATGATCTCACGGTTTGTGAGTTTGAGCCCCGCATCGAACTCTGTGCTGACAACTCAGAGCCTGGAGCCTGCCTCAAATTTTGTGTCTCCCTCTCTCTCTGCCCTTTCCTGGCTCACATTCTGTCTCTCTCTCTCTCAAGAATAAATAAACATTAAAAAAGAATTTTAAACTTCAATTATCTTTCACACAATGATCTCACTTGAACTAAGAGTACCCTA